CCCTTCGCGGCCCGCGCGGGAGCGCGACCAACTTTAGAAAACGTTTTGTTTTTCTTGTTGCAGAGCCAATAATAATGGAAGGATCCCCCGAGTTTAAGATTCTGAAGGATAAATGGACTGCAATTTCTGTAGACAATAAAAGGTGCCTGATTTTATTTTTCGATCTTTCCTAAGCTGCGGAACTGACCACTGACAGCCGGGGGGGGGAAACAAAACAAAACAACCCACGGGTGAGTTTTACAGGCGTGTTGGACGCGTTTGCCCCCTAATAACCAGCTGCTAAACGTGCATTTCAGATCAGCACAGTTTGAACATACCATTGTGATTACCTCAGAGGGAGCAGAAATCCTCTCTAAACTGGTGGAAGAAGCCTAAGGATGGAGCGAGGAGTGGAGGGACTCCGTGCTTCTGGGACTTCCAGTTTCACTCGGGACAGAGAGGAGGTTTCTGTAATTTCTGTGGGGAATGGGTGCTGCGTAAAGTCGCTACAGGGGACAGAAAAAGCAGCTTGAGGGGTCGGCTCTGGCCATAGTCCTTTCTGTGTGTTACCTGGTGAGTATTCAATAAAAGTCCCTTGGCTTGTTTGTGACCCTGGAAGCAGCCATGCACAGCCTGCAAGTGCGAAGGGTTTGGGTTATTTGGGGTGAGGGGCAGAGAGCGGGTCGCTGCTCTTCCCAGTCCTGCGTGGGACAAACACGTATCGGATGGCACGGTCTGGGTGCAGCTGAGACGACAGAGGTACAGAGCATTTTCCCTTTATAGCTGAGCTATGGAGTCAATTTATCTCCGGTGCCATTATCACAGTGCTGTTTCCCGGGCTGTAACTTCTAGGATGGAAAAAAGTTTCCCGAGGGTGGCAGGCGGAGGCAGCAGCCTCTTACCTCAGCGGCAGTCCCCCCCCTCCCCGCCTCGGCTAATTCTCTGAACAGCACAAAAAGTGATTAAAAATGAGATGCGAAGCGTGCTTCTCTGCAGATCAATAATTGCCCCGCTTGAGGAATTAGTCGGTTTGGGGTAATCACTGCTCTGCGATGCCCGCGTTAGCCAAGGGAGACGCACTCCGCGGTTCAAGCGTTTACCAGAAACGGAGGATGAGCCCGGCTCCTGCCCGGCGTTTGGAGCTGGCGGCCCTCAGCAGCTCCGCGCCCGCCCCGGGCCTGTCCCGGGCCTG